TGGCCAACGGTCAGAGAAGGGAACTGACAAAAGAGACAAAACAGGGCTTAGGAGGAGTTTTTTTCTTGGCCCTCTGGTGTGCATATCTCAGCCAACGTTCAACCAATATTTACTAAGCATATACTATGTGTCTAGCACCAGATGCCGGGTTTGGGGCAGTAAACAAATTCTAAAAGCAATTCTAATGCTTTACCATCACTGACATATTGTGGAAGTGACTGAGTATAAACACCGCCAGCATCCCCGCACACAGATTCTGAAGAGCCGCGGGGAACACTGAGGTCATAAACCTTTTCTGAAAAAATAAACTTGTTCATATTTTCTTTCAAAGGAAAAATGTTCAATAAATAAGGGACATCACAAAACAGTAACTGGGAAAAGGATGTACCTCCTTGAAAGAAAATAAGCACCCGAATCTATTTTTTTAAATGGTTGGGGCTGGGGAAGGCACAGCCGGAAGTGCTCGGGGCTTACTTATGGCTCTGCACTAAGGGATCAATCTTGGTGGGGCGCAAGGGACCATATGGCATACCGCGGATTGAACCCGAGTTAGTCATGTAAGGGCAAGCGCCCCGTCTGCTGTTCTATCTCTCCAGCCTCAGTACATAAATCATTTTAAGGTTTCTGTTCATTATAAGAATTATGGAGCTGACCAAGACTATTTATTCCCTCTATTATACAGATAAATCATATTAACTAGCTTTTAATGCAAGCAAATACAGACACTTCACCAAGAAGTCATCATTTGTCTGCATTTTGATATCATATAACAACGTGCCCCAGACTGCAGTGCAAAGCTGCACTCCACCACTGAACTACACTCCCCCAACCCCAGATTTTTCTATATCAATGTTCCAATTTAAAGAATACAGAAAGATGGGGACTGGAGTGATAGCACAGTGGGTAGGGCGTTTGCCTTGCATGTGGCCAACCCGGGTTCAATTCCCAGCATCCCATATGGTCCCCCGAGCACTGCCAGGAGTAATTCCTGAATGCAGAGCCAGGAGTAACCCCTGTGCATCAGTGGGTATGACCAAAAAAGCAAAAAATAAAAGAGAGAATATAGAAAGAACTGTCATTTGATTCATTCTTTGGATAAACCACATCTATTTAGCCAGTCAGCTATTAACGGACATTTGTTCTGTCTTTAACCTTTTGTTATTAAAAGCAATGCCATGATATATATATATTTTTTTCAATTTTAAGAAGATCAAAATTCCTCCAGAACTTTTTTTTTTGTCTTTTTTGGTAGGAGTACTGCTATTTATTCAGCCACTGATTAGCTGATTGAATTGTGCATGAACTCCACCTTACTTTTTTTTCCTTTTTCCATTTTTTATAATTTTATTTATTGAATCACCGTGAGAGCAGCTACAAAGCTTTTGGGTCTAAGTCTCAGTCATACAATGAAACACCCGTACCTTCACCAGTACCCATTCTCCACCACCAAAAATCCCAGTATACCCCCATCCCACACCATCCCCCTGCCTGTGGGGCAGATGATTTCTACATTACTCTCTCTCTACTTTGATCACATTCACTATTTCGACACCAGACCCACCATTATTTAAGATTTTACCCCAACACTCAGATCTGCTGAAAAGGCAACAATAGACAATTTGTGTTCTATTGCTGGTTATGACTAACATACAATGTCGTGTGGCTGCAGTAGGGCCATGTGGTTTTGAAATTCTGAAATTTTAACACTTAAATCTGGAGGGATTTCTGCCAAAAGCCACTGGGTTTAGAGATCTGCTCCTGAGTCTCTGGGATCATGGCCGTTGAGCAGCTTGATGAGGAGCCAAAGAGGCCATTCGTGAGCGATGACTTGGGGTCTCATTGGGGTGGGGAGGACAGGCCCGGCTCCACCTCCCCACCCATCCCGTGAGACCCAACAAGTTTCGTCACTGCGGGCCCAAGCCTGACTGTCCAATGGTCTCTGGAGGATGACAGCCACCAAGTCACCAAGAGGGAGCAGGCAGAGGGACAGCACCCATTCCCCCCTGGGGTGGCCCGGCCCGGTGACAGTAACCTACTGCGGGGTCCGGACACATTTCTGACAAAAGCCGCTGGGTTTCGAGATTTGTTTCTGAGTCTCTGGGATCAAGGCCGTTGAGCAGCTTGATGAGGAGCCAGAGAGGCCGTTTGTGGGCGATGACTTGGGGTCTCATTAGGGTGGGGAGGACAGGCCCGGCTCCACCTCCCCCCTCATCCTGTGAGACCCAACAAGTTTCATCACTGCGGGCCCAAGTCTGACTGTCCAATGGCCTCCCTCCAGAACTTTTGAATCAACTGACACTCCCAGTAGCAATGAGAGTTTCTAACCCAGCGTCTCACCAATAGAGTTGTGCAATCAACTAGTTGGTTTTCTGCCAGTTTTCTAAACGGAAAATGACACGGGCCAATTCTAATTTGGATGTCTATTCTCTTCAAGAGATGGAGCATCCTTCTAATCAAGGAACTAGCTCCACACTTTCACCGAAGAACAATGTTTCCAGAGAGAATAGCTGAGAAGGAAACCAGTTTGAATGTCACACTGGACCAGGGGGCTCTACAAGGACCGCTTATCTAAAACGGAATAGCACTCATTTAACCTGCTTTGCCTTGCTAAAGACATAACAGAAAGGTTGAATAATGCCATTGTGTAAAAGACTTTCCAAAGGGAAGTGGTCCCTAAAGTGATATTCCCTGCCCTAAAGCAAAGAATGAGTGCTCACAGTGATTGCCCAAAAACTATTCATCCAAGAGAGATGGTACAGAGGCTACTAGGGTGCTTAGCTCTCTGGCACCCCATATTCTTTTTCTTGCCCGGAAAAAGCAAGCCCTGATGAATCCAATAAGCCCCCCACTCACATGTAAGAGAACTGTTCAACAGACAAGAGCCTTTGAGGATCTAATCTTCCAGGGAGGAAGATGTAGTTAAGGTAATAAACGAGTAAATCTAATAGCTTGTTAGAAGGTAATAGGTGGCAATGATAATTATTAATAATGAAGCTTCGGGGGCCTGAGTGATAATGCATTGTGGAGGGTGTTTGCCTTGCACCTGGCCAAACACCAGGTTTGATCCCCAGCATCCGATACGATCCCCTGTGCCTGCCAGGAGTGATCCCTGAGCACAGTGAGCCAAGAGTAAGCCCTGACCACCACCAGGGGTGGCCTCCCCTCCCCCAAAAAATAAAAACAAATGAAGAAGGGGCAGGAGGGAAGATGCCTTCAAGGGCTGGAGCACTTGCTTTGAATAAATCCCCACACACTGCATGATCCCTAGGATAGCTAAGATCACCAAAAAAAAAAAAAATGAACGTAAAAGCTCAGCAACACTGACGTTTAGTACAGTAGGGCAACTGGGGTAGAACTGGTGGCGATAAGTGAAGAAAAGAAGGTACGAGATAAATTTTAGAGATCATGGGGCAAGCATTCTGGAAGAGGACAGCTCAAAGGCGAAGAGAAGGAAGGCGAGCTGGCCAGTCTAGGACACAGGGAGGAAGCAGCCTGGCTAGAGGGATGGTGGGGAGGAGGGGAGGTACTAAAATCAGTTTTAGGAAGAGAGGGGGACTAAAGGCAGAGAATCCAGCACCAAACAGCTCTGGGTCAAGAAAGTGACCTACTGTGGTTCTCTTCACCTCATGCTTTTTGCATCCTGCCTGCCTGTTCCTTATCTCTCTCCGACCTCACGACCTCTTTAGAAGGGCAAAGGCAATGGAGTTCCAACTGCTCTTACACACAGAGCTGGTTCTGCCGGGCTCAGCAAGGGCAGACAAGCAATACCTGGGTCTTTCACTTGCCAGCTGATCGCTCACCACAGCCAGGCAGCCCTCCACCATTCCGCTCTCCCAGAGGCTCCCTTCCCTTGCTCAGTTTTCCTTCCCTGCATGTCTGTGACTTGGGTATCTCACAAGTGGCTGTCAGCTCACCCATTTCTCTTCCCACTCATTTCCTGACTTCTGAAGTTCTCACAACACTCCCCGAAGAAAGCCCTTGACGGCCTGGTCAGCGTGTTATCAAGTGCTATCTGTTCCTGACATTCAAATAATCCTGCATCAAGCGATGACGCCTTTGTGGATCAAAGGCACGGCAGGGACAGAGTGGAACTTGCTCGGCCTTTTGACACAGGTCCAAGAGAATCCATTCCACTTCAGAAAAGAGAAGCAAATTGGGGACATTTGGGACAGAGATGGGAACCAAGCCCGGGGCAGGGGCCCTGATGCCAAAGTTCCATCCATGCACTGGCTACTCCTTGCACAAGCAAGGGGTACTTCATCATCTTATTGAAGAGCTGCTTCTGGGCCTACTCTGCTTGCTGTCTTCCTTATCATATCATCATTTTATTGTGTGCTTGGGGACCTACTCCCAGCAGTGCTCACAGGACCAAATAAGTGGAGCTGGGTCAAGCATTAACTTACCCCCTGGGCTACCTACCCACAGTCCCTTTCCTTGCGTCTTGAAACCCTAACTCCGGCCAGAGTGATAGTACAGCGGGTAGGGCATTTGCCTTGTATGTGCCCTACCTGGGTTCAATTCCCAGCATCTCCAAGCACCTGCCAGAATTCCTGATTGCAGAGCCAGGACTTAACTCCTGAGCATCGCAGGGTGTGACCCAAAAAACAAAAACAAAAAAGAGAAAAAGAAAAGAAAAGAGACCCTAACTTCAACATCAGCCAAGCAGAGACAGTAGGTCGGGTGCTTGCCTTGCACGAGGCCCACCCAGGTTCCATCCCGAGCATCCCATATGTACCCCAGTACAGAACGGGATGAGATGAAGGGGGGATCGAGTGCAGAGCCAGGAGTAACCCCTGAGCATCCCCCAAACACAACTAACCCCCTCCCCAAAATCAGCCAAGCTGGTGTTCTGGAGATTCCATCCCAGACCAGAGCTCATCAGCACTGGACGCCCATCCTGAGCTTCTCCCGACCCCACTCTCTCTGTTCCCCCCTCCCTTCGGACTCGCACCCCTCGACGGTCCCGACGCCCCCGCCACCCCGATCCCCTCGCCGCTCACCTGATGTAGGGGAGGAAGGGGTTCACGTGCCCCGAGAGCACGGCCACCACGTAGGAGATGATGAACGCGGCGGACGACCAGGTCACCAGGAGGAAGGGGACGAAGGCCATGCCTCGGAGGAAACACAGCATCGCGCCGCCGCCGCCGGGGGGTGGCCGCGCTCCGCGGGGCCGGGGAGCGGCGGGGGGCGCGCGGGTGGGGGCGGCCCGGGGCGGCCCGGACGGGGCCGGGAGGCTGCGGGCGGCGGCGAGGCGGGCTGGCCGGGGCTTCGGGGCGGCGAGCCCAGCTGCTTGCGAAACGCGTGAAGTCACAAAGCTGCCGGGCGGACGGGCTCGGGGCTGGGGGCGCGCGGGGACCCCCCGACGGCGCGGCGGCCGCGCGCTCCTGGGGCTGGGGCCGGGTGGAACGCGCGGGAGCGGCTGCCCGGAGCTGGCCGGGGGCTCTTGCGCAACTCCGGGGAGCCCGACCCACGCCTCCCGCGGCTCCCTCCCCCTCCTCCTCCTCCCCCCTCCTCCTCCCCCTCCTCTTCCTCCCGGGGCTTCCGGGGTGGCCAGGGAGGTCCCCCACCTGCGCGCGTAGCGGCCGGCGGACAGAGTGGCCCCCGCGGGGTGCTGACCCCCGTTCCTCCCCGCCGTCGCCCTCCTTCCCCTGCTGTGCGGGGTTCGAGCCGGAGCCCCGGGGACGGGGCGGGGTGCAGGGGTGCAGGGGTGCCGGGGACCGGGAAGGACACCTGGACGGGGCGGCCCGGAAAGCAGATCCCGGATGGTCGGGTCCGCGGGAGGCTCAGCCCAGCCGGCGCCCGGCGCTGCTGGCTCTCTCGGTTCTGCTTTGCCTGGCGCGAAGCGACCTCGAGGTTCCTAGAAATTCATTTCCTTTTCTCTTCTCACGCGCGCGACTCCCCCGGGGGAAGCGGGGTGGGGAGCCACGGCTTGGAGAGGCGGAAAGGCGACGGTGATGCACTGGCTTTCGGATCCCGCCAGAGGGGTTTGTATGCTGGAGGCTCCTGTCTCTCTCTCTCTCTTTCTCTCTCTCTCTCTCTCTCTCTCTCTCTCTCTCTCTCTCTCTCTCTCTCTTTTTTTTTTTGGTGCGGTTCAGGTTTCTTTTAGAGATTCTGAGCACCACCCCTCTTCCCCGGTACAACGTCCCCCCCCTCCAAAATAACCCCCCCCACACCCAGATGTGGCCTTGGTGCAGGGGACATGGGTGACCGATTGGGTTAATTTCAGCTCCATAAATTTCTCTTGGCCGGAGGCCTTGATGTTGGTGAAGTGGGTGAGCGATCGGGTACATTCAGCTTCATTAAATTTTTCTTGGCCGCCCACACCCTACCAGGTGGTAGGACACGATCATCAAATGCCGACCAGGGGTTTCGGAGACGCAAGCAAAGATAGGAGGAAGAGAGTAAAAAGTATTACAAGGGGCTGGAGCGATAGCACAGCAGGTAGGGCGGTTGTCTTGCACGTGGCAGACCCAGGTTTGATTCCCAGCATCCCGCTTGGTCCCCCTAGCACCGCCAGGAGTGACTCCTGAGTGCGTGAGCCAGGAGTAACCCCTGTGCATCGCGGAGTGTGAGACCCCCTCAAAAAATAAATAAATAGGGGCTGGAGCGATAGCACAGCGGATAGGGCGTTTGCCTTGCACGGAGCCAACATGGCCAACACAGGTTCGATTCCCAGCACCCCATATGGTCCCCTGAGCACCGCCAGGAGCAATTCCTGAGTGCATGAGCCAGGAGTAACCCCTGAGCATCGCCGAGTGTGACCCAAAAAGCAATAAATAAATAAATAAAAATAAAAGTATCACAAGATAAAATGGGAAATCCTGCTTAATGGAGACCCGTCCCATAATCTGGGCGCTTCCCTGCTTTCCTTTCCCTTTCCTTTCCTTCCTCTTAAATCTTTTCTGAATTAATCAGTTGTGGGGTGAGGAGTGGGAGAGGGTGTAGGGAAAAGGTAAAATTCAGAAAGTCCAGTTCAGTGCTGGGAGGGGGAGATTGCAGTGCTCAGGGGAGAAAAAGACTTTCTGACATGGTAGTTTCCAAGAGTCAATCCCCCTGTGAGGTCCTGACAGGCGAATCTTTCCCTCCTGCTAGGCATCATCTCACTTTCAGAACAAACAATGCTCCTACTCAGAGATTCTTAGCCGCGTTCTAGAAGCCAGGCCTGGAAGCCCAGCTCTCTGCTGTCTACCTTATGAGTACTTTTCCTGTTGTTGAAAAAATAAGCAACTTCATGGTGTGGTGTATAGCCCTTGGTATCGGCTTTTACGCGTGGGTGGCCCTGCCTTTGATCCCCTCCAACAAAGCATGCAGTCTCTGTATTTTCTCCTACACCCTCCTAGGCTTGGACCGCCTTTATTACCTTTTTTTCTGCATGGGTAGCGATTATGAGAAAGGGGGGACAGGTAATGAGCCCCCATACTGCATAAAGGTGCTTGGCTTTGATTCGTCGTACTTTTGATCTTCCTAGGTTTCTGGGTTCCGAAATCCACACTCTCTGAGTCTCCTTGCTCTTTCACCATCCTTCTGCCTCTTCTTTCCTTCTCTGCGAGGGTTCATCTGTTAGAAACCCTCCTCGGCGCCAGGAATGTAGCTCCAGAATGAAGCTCAGTGGTCCGGTGCAGGCTTTACACAGAAGAGGCCCGGCTTCACCCAGGCACAGAACCCCTCCCTGAGGGAGAGGAATTATGACCTCAGATAGAACCCACAAAGCGACAAGCATCTTCTGTTCCCAGGTAACTCCCCATAAACAATCCATTTGACTACTTTTCACACGCGTGCAACAGGCGTTGTCTGACTTCAATAGTATCCACTGTTTTGTTATTTAAAGTATGTGTTCGTGCATATATTTAGTTTTATAACCTTGACTGTGTATGTACATTTGCTGTCAAGCAATTGGCAAAATCTCTCCCAACCCTGGGAAAAGCTTTTTGTTCCATTGCTCATTACACTTTCTTAGATGGGTAAAACTGATGATGGTAGAACTGGAGACATAGTACAGAACTTAAGGCACTGGCCCGGTATCTGGTATGCAGCCAACCTAGGTTCACACTCCTGGTTGTGGCCTGAACCCCACCTGGAGTGAATGATCCCCAAGCACGGAGCCAGGAGTTATCCCTCAGCATCTAAAAAAAAATGATGGTTGTATGAATTATGAATTACAGAGGTCTTAAAAATCAACCTTGACTAAGGATAGAATCTGAAAAATTCACCCCCAAATATGCCTCTTTATTATAAGTATTATTTGGAGCTAATAGTAATTTAGCTGTTGGAACATAAAATCTTCATTAACTACCTTCTAGACTGGTAAATAAACATGCATGAGATTAGTTAGAGAAACTGAAAAGAAGCTTAATAATACCATGCATGCCTCTTGTGTGTGTGGAGCGGGGGGGAGTCAGGGAAGACCCCATTAAGACTAGTTAAATCTCCATGTGGCTTCAGACATACAGAATGGGCCTGAGCCATAATAATACAGCAGGAGGGTACTTGCCCTACATAGGACCAACTTGGATTTCATCCCCGGCACCCCACATGGTCCCCAGAACCCCTCCAGGAGTCATCTCTGATCTTGTTACGGAAACCTGACTGAGGAACAGACGGCACCCAAGACGTGTAAGGGAGGCAACTCGGTTTATAGGCATGAGGACTCTACCTGGCTTTTACCAAAACAGACTGAGCCTCCGATGCAGTTGACGATGAGCTAGCCACGGGCTGTGTCATTTCTAGGGAAATGTTCTTCGTCTCCCACACACCATGCTTGCTACCATGGCTGCTGATGCACGCAAAAGCTGGTACAGTACGTTCCTGTGATTTGTTTTAAGCTCCATATAGGCATTTCCTAATTGTTTCCGTGACCCATTCCCTTCCTGCTCCAGCGACCCCATCGGCCTTGCCCTCTCGCTCTGTTCTTATGAACTCTTGCCAGTTCGTCATTGCCCAACTGCTAGGATGGATCACCCAGTGGCTCTGCCCCTAGCTTCCCCTGCTTCGTTATCTCATTTTCCCATTTCAAGCTCTGAGCCATGAGTCAGCCTTGCCCTGTGCACAGTGAGGTGTGGCCCCCACATCAGAAAACAAAGCAGTCACCCAAAACAATGGGGAGATGTGCTGGGTGGGAAGGGTGTGTGTGTGTAAATCATAGGATGTCTCCAGGGAAGGGACAGTAAGCCAAGATGAGACTCTAAGGCAGAATTCAATTCTGTCTCCTCCGTTGGGAAAAGTTTTGGCTCTGCCCACCCCCTCCCCTGGTCAGGGAAATAGCTCTAAAGGCTGTGCACGCAGTTTGCATCAGGAGACTCTGGTTTAATCCCCTGTACCACGTGGTCTCTTGCCACCGCCCTAAATGGCCCCCAAGCAACAAATAATCCCCAAAACAACAACAGACGTATGTGTGCAGAAGCAGGGAGCAGCCTCCCCAGGACCCCAGCACATCAGTGGGTCTTTCCAAAGGTCCTTCCTAGAGAAAGAAGAAAAGTGTCTGTCATAGAAGGAGACTGGGGTGGGGATGGGGTGTTGAGGTATAGTGGTTGGGAAACAGGGAACTTTGGTGGTGGGAAATTTACACAGGTGGAGGGATGGGTGTTGGATCATTGTATGACTGAAACCCAATCATGAACAGCTTTGTAATGGTCTATCACAGATATCCAATACAATTTTTTTTAAAGTAATGTGGAGTTCCTGCCCGTTTCAAGTCAGCTTAATCAGTGACTGAATAAACAGTGGTACTCCCACATTAAAAAAAAAAAAAGTCCCTTTTAGGAAATAAAACCTCTGTCTAAGACATGTGGGGGGTGCCCAAGGGGGCTGGAGTGATAGCACAGCGGTAGGGCGTTTGCCTTGCGTGCAGCCAGCCCGGCCAAGCTGGGTTCGATTCCTTTGCCCCTCTTGGAGAGCCCGGCAAGCTACTGAGAGTATTCTGCCTGCATGGCAAAGCCTGGCAAGCTACTGAGAGTATTCAATATGCCAAACACAGTAACAAGAAGTCTCACAATGGAGACGTTACTGGGCCTGCTCGAGCAAATCCATGAACAATGGGAGGACAGTGGCAGTGACAAGGAGTTACCAGCGCCTCTCCAGGGACAGGATCTAAGTTTCCTTTACTAAAGACAAGTGTGCCCAGAGATGGCTCCA